TAAATAATAAAATGCAAAATTCTGCTAGAAATTGTCGACGATTTTCAGAAATTAATATATAAAGTTTTTCAATTATAGTATAAAGGCCGTAATATACGACGCATGTAAAAATTTTTAATAATACTTTCAATGCGTCAGGCAAGCGCATAAAACGATACTTTTCATATTGAATAGTTTACAACACTATTTTAATTTAAAAAAAAGAACATATTTTAAATGACATTAAAGTTTTAATTAATTCAATAATGCAAATTCTATCCACAAATAAAAATTGAACATGAATTAATCTTACAGCAAAGATGTACAGGAAAGTTTGGAAAAACTGCGACGACTATCGCAGCGGCGGTTGCGATTTAATAACGAAAACGCGAGGCTGCGAAACTTTTAATCAACTTTGGCTCCGCCGCGCACGTCGGATGCAGCCCGAATCCCGCCGTCGTTCGCCATCAAAGTTTACGATTGCGTTTCGCGGGCGGCGCGGCTTCAGTGGCTAATATTGCATTACTTATTTTATGAACCGGCCTTGTCTCAAGCGCAACCGCGTGCTGGTTGTATCGAAACCATTAAATTTGACGAGCGTATGGCTTCCAATAAGCAAGTTTTTCAAAGTTTTTCAGATTTTTAATCCTGAATTTGCTTAGTAAATAAAAACATTAAATATAAATAAATTTGTGCAATATCATAATCGCATTTGTAAAATTAATAATTTAAATATAATTATATTTTTAAAATAAGAAAAGTGCATCTGTAAGCATCTTAACTAAATGTTCATTTTTATAATTAGAAAAAATTAAGTAGCGTCTCAATTTAATAACCACAACAAAGCTCTTCAGGACTATTTTAAAGAGCTTCAACTAAGAATAGGAATAAAATGTAAATTGCAATATCTTTATAAAAATTATATTCCCAAACATAAAAGAACTTACAATATAAAAATTGAGAAAATACTGTTTTCTGAATAAAATAAACAAAAAACTATTTAAGTTATACAAAATTAACTTGTGCTCCTGTTTCACTGATTGGCGTTTTCTTCAGCCGTATTATTCTCCAACTGTGTTTCGCAATTCAACTCGTACACAACACATCACGTCACGAAAAGGAACTTATTAGCAATCACGCGAGCGTCCACTGTACGAAAAGAAAAAACACAGCGTTCCGAATGGAAATTGCACCTGTTCAGTACAGTAAACTGTTAACACAGTAATATGCTTATTGCAGCACAGAAACATATTTTTGCAAACAGTGCGGTAGAATTTCTTGGAAACATTAAAATAGAAAACGACCTACTGAAGTTTTTTCTTGTGCTTCCTAGGACACACAAAGCAGAAATTCAATACAAACATTTTTTGAAAGCAGCAACGGCAGGCAGTAGTATCATGTAGGATATTTCTTTGTCGTATGGGCGGGAATTTACGAAACACTTTAATTTCCTCTTGCTTTCAGCGCATTTTTTTCACGTTCACGATGCTTTGGTTTCACCTTTGTCGCTGTATTTTCATTTCTGTCGTCACGTTTCTGAAATAGATTCCATGTCGTGACATAACACGCGTCACGAAGTTATTTTGCGTTTGTTTTTCGACGGTATCGGTTTTCAATTAGAATTATAAAAGAAATAAATATTTTTCTTTGTCACATTCTGGGAATATCAATAAATATAAGTTGATATTACCTAAAAATCAATTAAGTAAAGTTTTATTTTGCCGAAAAAAAATTCTAAATTCCGGATTTCATTAATAAATAGTAAATAATTTATAGTGAATAATTCAAAGTCAAACCTGTCAGTATTAATTAAAATCGTATATTACATTTGGCTAAAAGTTTCCTAAAATTTATCCAAGTGTCCAGTGGGAATTAACACAGATTGCAATATTTTTGCAAAAAAAATTTCCCATGCGCAAATAAGCTTTGAAATAGTCAATTAGCGTAATTAAGTGTCGACGCTAATTAATTAACGTGTTCCGCACATTCGAATGTCCGCTCTGCCGGCATATAAAGCTCCAGCTCTCGGCGGAGATTCTTCTGTACGCTTTTTGTGCCTCGCTGCACAAAACATACGCAAAACTGAATGCAATTTTATATTACGTTTCTCGTTTCCTTTGCCGTGTTTGCTTTGTTGTTCGGCCCGACGGGTGCATCGGCTGTCCCCGGAGGATGTTAGCACAGCATTCAAATTCGTATTATTTTCGCACACTTTTATCTCTTGCAAAACGTGCAAAACACACATTGTGTACGATTCATGCAAGTCTGCTGATTGTACAACTTGTATTTCATGTATTACAAAAACTAAAAACACTAATTGAAAGTTTAAAACAGCTGAGTAAATTAAACTATTGCACCTAAATCGGCGTAAATTTAATAATGAACTTACAATTTGTATTGCTGCTAAATCATATATTAATGTAAATGTAATTTCAAGTGAGTGCCATTGCGTGAACGCAAGTTCTTGTTTTCTTCGCTTGGCATTATTTTTTCCACTCGGATCGTTACGCAACGCCATTTTTGTAATGCATGCGACGAGTAGTCCAGCAGCAGCAGTATGCCCGGCGCATCCGCCATGAATTTTTCCATCAAATAAAACTAGCAGTCATTTTGTTCCGTAAATGTAAATGTAATGAAACGTCTCGTCCAAACGCGCTGTCGAATACGATTCGATAGAGAACGCCACACGCGCTGCAAAAATTCACATCGCGCCATGCGGAAAAGCGAAAGAATAAAAAGCACGTGACGAGCGCCGTAGGCAGAACGAGCGGGCAAAAAACCGAAAAGGGAGTGTTAATTCGTTAGAGAGCCGGCTAAAAATGTAAAAAGTGCGCACTCACCGCGCAGTTGCGGACTCTTAAAACCTAACCACCACCGTCGATGCCACTGCCGCCCCCTGCTACATACGAATAGTTGCTCTCGCTCGTGCTTCGAGCAAGAGAAGGGTGGTACTAGATATGGAATGGAATGGACGAAAGTGGCGACGGTAATTTCGAAATTGCCGAATCGAAGTGACCTGCCTGCCTGCTCGTGCTCGAGATAATAAAAAAAAACCCAGGAGCCAAACATCGACCAACATATTGCATGAAGTGGAGAGAACGAGTACGTACTACATTGCTAAAACGATAAAATACATACATGAAGAGGCACAGCAAACGAAGAGCAAATAGAAACTGTATCTGGGATATTAATATCTTGTATTCGGTTACATTTTTTTTTTCTAAACATCTGGACGTGCGTGTTTGTATAACATTCCTTTACGTGGGCGTATTCTCGGAAGTAAATATACATTATTTTTACAATTACCTACAATTTTTGCCTCCTAGAAATAACTCGTTTTATATTAACTCCAATTTAATTAATTTCTAAATGTATTACTCAAATATTGCGGTTATTATTGTTTACGACACAATTTTCTGCATTGCGCTTTGTTTCCTTAAAACGTGTGCCCCGCAGCGCCATAGTCGAGTATTGTAGCAGAGGCACTGCTTGTGTTTTCTCTCTAATTTCGTTCGGAAACAAAGTCGTTCGATGATTGTAAAATAATGGAAAACCGATTGATCGACGCCGGGGCTGAAGTCGAGCTTAAGCCAGGCAAATGTAGCGCGGTCCCATTAAGAGACCGCCTTAATTGTATATTTATCGCCCGCTTCCGAGCACAAACGTTCAACATCCTGTATAAGCAAAGTGTCCTTCGTATCTAGGCGATGGGGGTAGCGGCGGCGAACCAATCGGGTTTTTGTACGCGCTGTTTGCGAGTTTGTTTTAAAGTGCTTGCGAAGCTCTATAAAACCCGGCGCAAAAACGACGTCCCAGAATGTTACTGAATGTCCAGCGCCATCGAAATTAATATTAATGGTAATTTTTTTACGCCCCAGCGGCACCAATGATCCAATGAAAAGGTTTAATTTACGAAGGCAAAGGGTGGCGCAATTCGCGCCTTTTAAAGGTGATTCTATTTCATTTCGACCTCGATTCAATCGTGAAGGCATTCATTCTGAAATTCCATCGCCTTCGAAGGAAACCATTCATTTGCGACGACGCGACGTTTAAATTCACAAAATTTACCACAATTTGCGACATGAATTCATTTTTTTAGTAATATTTCAGGAAGATATTCAAAATAGTCTTCAAGGCGAAAAGTAAATTGATCTGATGATTGGCTCTCAATGCGTAACACGAGCATGATTTTACCCATCGCGGTGGATGAATGAAAAGGTGAAACTTATGTCGCGACGTCTTCTCTAGGCAAGTAAGCGTCAGCCCTCTTATAGTCGGGAAGCGAAGAAGCAATCTAGATTACGCCAGGAGAGAAAAATCGACATTTCTGGATGAAATGAATCCGGCCGGCTTCGAAAATAGAATGGGCGAGCAGGAAATTGGATGTTATTTTTGTCCATTACATCGACGCAAAGAGTCGCAGCACCTGCAATTTTTACCGCTTTCTTTTCTCCACTCTAACTTCACTCCACTTTTAGTGATGGTGTAAAATTTAAACGCCGCCTATTTATACGTATCAGATTATTCCCGAATGGAGGAAGTTGACAAATGCAGGCGTCTGCAGGCGGAAACTGCACGGCAATAAAATGATCATAGTACCTACTAGGACGACGAGAGACTGCGACGGGACAAATGGCGTCCTTTCGGCGATAATGAAGTGAATTTGTATGAATGGCCGTTATGACCGACGCCTCCGCATGTATTAAAGCACTCGCAACTTCGAGTCTTTGTATGTGTGAGTGTGGCAACAATGTTTGCGAGAGGTTTCGCTTCAATTAAGCGCAGGAACACATGTCGACACACGCCATCATCATCAACATTCGGGTCAGCGTACAAGCGCGTCCTGAGCTTTCACAATTACACAATGTTGGCGTTTTACTGCACCACGAGGCACGAAAGGGTCAAAACAAAGAATGGCGCAGAGCAAAAGTACACGAAACAACGCAGAGACAAAGAATTATGCATTGATCATTATCACAATATTATAAATCATAGACTTATAACGAAATTTAGTGACTAACCTGTATTATCAATGCTGAATATGCCAATCCCGTCGCCGTCGCGTATAGAATACTCAATGCGGCCGTCCTCGCCCTTCCCATCCGGATCTGTCGCGTTCACCTGCATCACCACACTCCCGATAGGTAAATTTTCGGACACGGCGCCCGCTAACACAAAGTCAGCGAAATGCGGCGCATAGAGGTTCTCGTTCACGTCCACCACATTCACCGTCACACTGGTCTCGGACGAGAGAGCAGGATTGCCACAATCGGTCGCGAACACCATCAAGCTGTGCACTTGCCGCTCCTCAAAGTCCAAAGGCTTAGTAGTCCGAATAGTCCCCGAAAGTCGGTCAATCTTAAAAGTACCATCACTGTCACTATCCTCTAACGAATACACGATCTCCCCCTCCGGACCCAGATCCGGATCGGAGGCTGAAACCACCGCGACAACACTGCCCTTAGGTATATCCTCTCTGATTTTTACTGTGTAAGTAGGCAGGTTGAACTTGGGCGCGTTGTCGTTAATATCGTCGACTGTAATACGAACTAAAGCCTCCGAGAAGAGCGGTGGGTTGTCCGGTCCTTTTCCGCCGCCGTCCGTCGCGCGTATGTGCAGCTCGTAAACCTCTTGACGTTCGCGATCCAGCGGATTGGATACCATGAGCACACCGGTAAACTTGTTCACCGAAAAGTCCTTTGTGTCCGTCACTAACGAATACGTAACTCTAGCGTTGTCTCCGGCATCCGCATCAGTCGCATTCGCTCTGAAAATTGTCGTGCCATTCATCGCGTTTTCCGTCACACGAAAACTAGCAAGAGACTTCTCAAACTTCGGAGCATTGTCGTTGACATCCAGTACGGTAATCGGCAGTATTCGGGATGCGGATTTTTGTGGTTTACCCAAATCATAGACGCTTACATTGAGCAGATATTCGACTTCGCGTTCTCGATCCAGATAGCCAATCACTTTCAATTCCCCGCTGTCCATGTCCAGGCAGAACACGCTGTGCTCGTCCCCGCCGGAAATGCCGTAAATCAGTTTGCCATTATATCCCAGGTCCCTGTCACGGGCGCGCAGTTTGATGAGCGTCGTGCCGAGCGCCACCGATTCGTTTACTTTAATCTCGACGGGGAAGTCGATGAATTCCGGTGTGTGCACGTTCTGTCCGTAACGCGTCGGCATCATTGCAAACTCTTCCTGCGCCGGCGGACGGTTGTTGTTCTCTGCCGCCGCTAACACTTCCGTAAGACGACGCGTTACACCAGTCTCTTTACAATCAAAATATCCTGCTTCGTCGGTGAGCACAGCTTTACGTTTGCCTTTCACCAGCTGAAAGGAAACACGTACCTGGTCTGCAAAATGCAAACCGTCGCGGGCGGTGACATTCAATTCGCGTTCATTGACACCAACATCATTAAGATCGCAGCTCACCGTAATGGACCCACTGGTGGTGTCGATGCTGAAACAACCATCTTCATTACCTGACTCGATTTGGTAGGAGATAATATTCCCCGCGTCGAAATCAATTGCCGAGAGAGTAATAATTTCACTACCGATTGGAATGTAGCGAGGGACATGGCCCTTGCAATCAACCCGTTCGAATTGCGGCCTATTATCGTTAACGTCTTTAACCTTGACAGTAAGCTGCATTTCGGTCTGCCTCCGGTACGGTAATCCCCAATCGGATGCTCGCACTCGCAGGACATATTCCCTCCTCATTCGTTCGTAATCCAAGAGTGCGGTGGTCTTTACGACCCCGGAGAAATGATCAACCTCAAATGGAACCTTGCCGAGATTTGCAATCAGATAAGAAATGTATGCATTCTCACCGCGATCTTTATCTTTCGCATGCACCGTGGTGACACTCGTCCCCGATGGCATATTCTCATCAATCCAGACAGTCATCTCGGCACGATCAAAAATGGGATCGTTATCGTTGGTATCTTCCACGTATATTTTCACCTTGGCCGATGACTGTTTCCTAGTTCCGGCATTTCCTTGATCTATGGCTGAAACCGTTAAACTATAAAATGCCTTCACTTCAGCATCGAGTCCAACAGCGGTGTAGAGCATGCCCGTTTCCGGATTGATGTGAAACTCGCCACCCTCGTTTCCGCCTACAATCTCGAGGAAGACCTGTGCGTTCTTTCCTTCGTCAGCATCAGTGACTTTCAGTCTTATCAATGGCGTGTTCACCGGCGCCACTTCCGGTACCTTCACCTCGTAGATCTCCTTGTTGAAAACAGGCGCATTGTCGTTGAGATCCGTCAGACGCACCTGCACAGCCTTATAACTCTCTTTCGGCGGAATACCTCGATCGACCGCACGCAATTGAAGGTTATACCCTTGTGGCGTACGTTCACGATCGAGAAGTTTGAGCACTTCGATGTTAAATTCTCCCGGTTGGGACGTGGGTCTAATGCGGAAGTGGCCATCGGGGTCACCATCAACTATCTCTAGACTTCTAATTTCTCCGTGGATACCACTATCGCGGTCGGACACATTGACTATGGCGTAGATATCGGCATTAGAATTTTCCACAATTTGTGGATGTTGCTTGACCCGTATTTCGGGTGAGTAAAGATTGACCTTCTTAACACGAATGCGTACCATAGCTTTACTCATGGTGGAGGTGCCCAACGCCCGAAACACTCCGCCTCTATCCTGTCCAAGAACAGTGAGTTCATGATATGTGCCTTCATTGTACCGCAGTGGGCGCGTGAGGGATATCACTCCTGACATGGGATGGACAGCAAACTGATCCGTCTCCTCCGCAAAACTGTAGTAAATCTCTCCGTTCCGGCCCAGATCAGCATCTTCGGCCAGCACTCGTAGCACGCTCTGATGCACAGGCGTATCCTCGAACACAGTTGCGTTGTACTCGACTGGATAGAACAAGGGGTTGAGATCGTTGGTGTCGAGTACGGTGACGATGACAGTGGTGGTGGCCTCCAGCACGAGTTTCTGCTTATTGTCACGCCGGGTGGCGGTAGCACGCACCTCCAGAAAGTACTTATCTTTTCGTTCGCGGTTGAGCACGTCATTATTCCCGGTTCGCGTCCGTATAAACAGAAAGCAAAAATCCCCCACTAGACGATCCTCGGCTTTGAAAAACTTATCCTTATCACCGGCCACGATTTTGAAGCGCACCTCGGTGAGGCCGTTAGGATGTGCTATGGGGATGCCAACACGGCCGTGGCCGGGCGCCGACGTCGCGTACGTTTTCGCAACGCTGTTCTCCGGTATACTGACGTTGTAGGAGCGACTGGTGAAACGGAACTCATCCGGAGAGGTGAGAGCCGCATGATGGATTTGATGTGTGGGCGCCTCGTTGGAGCCGGCCTGGGCCAACAGCGCGATCACCAGGAGGCAACAGGCGACTGCGCTCGAATGCATCCTATTTCAGCTCATCGTATACGAAGACCAACCTGCAAACAAGAACAAAAGTTTTAATTGAGTTAACGGAATTTCGAAAAACTGGAAGAAAATAGAGTATGTTTAGGTCGGCGATAGCACCTCCAGGGAGTTTTAAACCACCTGCGCTGAGGTGATGACGATTCCAAAATTGGAAACGCTCCCAATTCGCACGCGTTCTAAGCCGGAGCCAATTCTTTCCGTGTTCGCGCCGGTTTTTATAGCGCACTCGAGAGTTGCCGCTTTCTCCAGTGCACAGCACATAAACACAACTCACTAAAATGAGCCTTTCCGCCATGGTTGCTTCATTCCGATGAGCGCGCTCGTCGTGATAAAGTAAGACGTGAAAAAGGAGGGCAATGAACATGAAGGTTGCTATCCGGGCGGCTACTTGCCTCGCTTATTGTCGGGGCTGGGCTATGACGAAGTGCAACTCTTAAAATATTTCTTTCCAGCGAGTAATTTATTAATAATGTTGCTTACGTCTGCATTTCGCGCTCGCTATCTCATTTGAGCTGTTTCTATCGCACCAGCTCTAATGTTATTAATAGCCACTAAAGCCAGTTATGAACGCAGAAAGAAAAACTAAGCGCGCAGCAACCATTTCAGACAACTAAGCGGAAAAGTCACACCTAAAAAGGCAAAACAAAAAAGTTCTCATATTGGCGGAGGTCGTCGTGTCGCGCGACAGTCGCACCCGCCATTCGCAGCAGACACAGACGCGAGGCAATTACTGCTAGGAAGGATTGAAGCCCTTGTAATCCTCCCATGCGGCATGTTAGTCGCAATATTCTATTTTTAACGCGCTCGCTTTGTGATATTAAACGAGACTACCTATATAGTCAGACCCATGCAGGGTTCCTTTTCCAGCAGCCGCATAGTTGGCAAAAAATCTAAATAAAGTCAAATAAACTACTTTAATAGCAGTCAAAAGGATTTCTCTATGATACTATCTGGAGAATGAACAGACAAACTCGTTCGCGTTTTCGATATCTTCATAGTTGCTGCGGATAGACCGCGGAATTGCATAAGGAATTGAGATAAATCGCGTCCTATTTCCCTACCGATTTTCTAGACTTTCAAAGCACTTTAGAGGCTCACGTAGGAATGGAATTTGTGGGTTCGCCGATGCGGGTTCAAGGCTTCCAACATCCGGTTAACCCGAGACCAACTATCAAAGCAACCGAAGAATGCAGATACAAATCGAAAAAGTACTCCTCAAAACATTCAAAATGTCCAAGTCGTTTTAAAACATGCAAAAATCAATATTTATTTTGCACTGCAGAGGAATTTAATAAATCTTCAGTCAAAGAAGAGCGTACTGAGAAATAATACGTTTAATTAGACAGGTACAAAGTGTGAATTCCTCTCTATTTCTGCTGGTTCCTTTGCAGTTTCGTATTGCTTTGTTTAAAAGGAACGCGTTCCACTTGATCTTTGTGTTGCTGTACCTTGTTAGTTGCTTTTTGTTCTTCGGCCAAGCACCACGCAGTCTTAATACAAATACATACAAAGGTTTCAAGTTTTGCGTTCATTCTTGGAGGCGTCAATTTCCAACACCTAGGTATACTTTTCTTAACACGGCGAATCTCAACTGTCACACCTCAGCCTGCAGCCCAAGACAAAGTAAAAGTGAAAGGACGACGCAAACTTAAATTATAAAGCGTCGTAGACGTCCTAAAACTCAAAGCTACAATCCTACCCACACACACGCATAAGATGTGTTGTTTGTTCACGGCGTCTTGAGCAACTCACTGTCAAATGAAAATGTCTTCAAAGATATGCACAGACGTGGAAACATTACACTCATTAAACTGAACGCCTTCATTTGTGCAGAACTGTGAGAAACATCCACACATGTATAACTAGTGATGAAGAAAACTGGTCATTGAAATATCAAAATGTCAGTTTTGCAAGTATTAAAATCTGCATTTCGATGCAGATCCGGACGCAAAGGAAACAAGATACATAGAAAAGACGAATGACTCAAATTTGGAATAAAATAACCGTGAAACGCGACTACACATGTACGAAACGTACAAATATCTACATAAATAAGCTGCGGCCCGAAAAAGAGGGAACTAAAATTGCTGCGCTCTGCAGTGCGCTCTCGCTTGCTTTGAGCGAATTCTCCGAAGATTAATAACAGCACTTACCTACGCCGCATTTTTCTTTATTTCTTTTTAAATTTTAGCATTCCTCAACAACGAATCATGCCCGCACATAAATACATATTCCACGCAACTAATTCGTTATCACCCAAGCAAAAAGAGTGATTTGTAATCGAGTCAGAAGCAAAACAAAAGCAGTACTAATGTACAAGTAATACAAGCATGTAATAATCACTATAAATAAACCAAAGCAAAACAAGCGTCGTGTATAAAGAGTAGAAAGGCACAAGAGCCCAGCCAAACTTTTGTTTAGATTTAGGGTATGCCGCTGCGGTAATGGACTAAAACAAGAGAAATACTTCTCTCTAGTGTATGTCATGTGCTCATGTCATGAAGACAGAAACACCTTGTTCTTGTAGTGTGTGGAAACGCGTGCGGGATGTGTGTATGTAGATACGAGTAGTTATATTCTTGTGTGGCGGCTGTGCGAGCGCATCTTATCTTAAATAGTTTTAATCTGTTGTTAGCCCACGAAAATCACTAAACCAACCGAGGAGTACAAGCAAAGCAGAGACTCGCTGCTATCGAAAATCTTTCCTTCGTGCGTCTCTCACACAAAGTAAACCAACAACAACTCCTTGGCAACTATTCGTAAGTCTTCCTCCAGCAGCGACAAGTTTGCTGGAGCGAGAGGTGCGGGAACTTTAAGTAGCTTTAGTTGGAAGTGAAGCGACGCATGTGAGAAACTTCGAATGGGCAGCTGACAACAGTTTTACACTGAAATAGAATCTAAACAATGAAGGGAAATTGTATTTTCCCGATTCGGAGAAGTGTAATTATACAGGAGACAATAAATATCGATGCATATACGCTTGACAAAATTGAGGCTTATTGTAAACACAATCTGGTTGAAGGTAGGGCATAACTTCAGTCAAATTCAACTGAAACAGATTGGGGTATTTCGAATATAAAATTTCCTTTGATCATTTCATTATTTTTGCTGTAAAAGACGTTTATATGATTGGATTTTATTTGAGTCCGGCGTGTGCAAAGTTGAATTTACATCGAGCCAACTCAGACCTCATCGTTTGTATCTACTTTATGCCACATTTATAGTGGTTTGTACACAGCAGGAGCACACAGAGAGAATTCCGGAGTACGAGAGTTAGAAATGTGACGCCAGCTTTATATACTCCCACCTAGCGTACTCAATCCAATCGTACATAGCAACGAAGGTGCAATACGGCACTAAACCCTCTTACTCATTACTAATGTTAGTGTGGGCGCCTAGATTATTCCCTCTTCTCGGTGACTGTGAGGTCGGAATTTAGCTCAACATGAACCATGCTGAATACGGCAGTGGTACATCAACAAACAGTATATTTAATGCACGTAATTCAGCTACCGGCGGCGGCCAGGTAACGAAAGCTTTGACAAGTGATAACGGCACGTCTGGACGCGATAAGGCCACGTTGTGCACGGAACATCAAGCGCGAACGTTTCGGCGAATGGAGGTACACAAAGCTGGCAAGCCGACACATTATAGTTACATCAACGCCTGCCTGAAGCCAAACCAAGGCAGGCCTGGAAGCAGGAACTGAATAGGTTTTATCAGGGCGCATAAAATCAACAAACTGTTCGCACACAGCCACCAGCCAACAAGCACATATCACGTATCCTGTCACTCCACCCACGCATAGATTTTATTCCTGACGTACATTAGAATATCGAACGCGAGGGTACTTAATAAGTTGATTAACGACTCCCAGTGTACAGATTGTGTTGCTCAAAAATGCGGGTCACTTCAATAATAGCATCAGCATTCGGTTACGAAACAATTTTGTAAAGTAATGAACTTTATTTCACAATTTCATGAAAAAAATCACCGACACTGGCCGGAGTGATATTGTGTTGCGCGATACGGGAAGTTGAATTATGGCAGGTTCTCATTTTCCTGATTCCCCGGAGACAATACTGCCGGTAGGTAATGACATTCTAAATTACGTTACAATGCGGTCCGTGGCGTCCACAGTGCGTGATTGCGTTTGAATTTTCACGCACATATTGATACATGTGATGTGCCATCTAATCTAATTTGCATGCGCATATGAGAAATAATACAATTCCGTAGAAAATCCCCACGAATTCGCATAATTTAATTTATATCTTATTGAGAATTGCAGGTAGAAAAAGAATTCGGGCGCAGGTAGAAAAAATACCCAGCTATGCGTTGGGAATTTTCAAAATATCAACATGAGAAAGATGTTTAAAACGAAACATCTGACAGATAAAGATAAAATTTACTTGTTTATATAAAAATTTCACTTACAGAATTCAAGTAGAAATAATTGAGGTACCCAAGGTTATATATCCAAAAAGAACACAAACATCACATAACACTTAAAAGCACATTTGAGGAACTTGCACACCACACGATTAACTTCGTACCTCAATGGTTAAACACGCTTAGATTTGCTAATCTGTCCAACTCGCAACCGGGTTCGTTAATGATGGCTAGCCGCAAACCGGTTCATACTTCATACTCGACGACGCGACATTCGTCTTCGGTGTAAAGTCGTGAACGTTCTGGACGCACACATGCGTCCCATGGTCACTGGAGTATAATGTAAAATGGAGAACGAAGTTACAGCCGCGACGGTTATTTCGATACTAACGAACTGAATGAGAATGGAAGCGCATTGGAGCAGCCACCGGAGTTCCAAAAACACACAACTTCGCCCTTGTGCGCGCCAAGCATTGCCATCATTCTACAGTAGTGTGGTAGGGCGTTCTAGGGCTTCTAGAAATTGTGAACACATGGCCTACCTCCACTCGTGCTGTGTTACCCTCGAGGGGATACACAATTATACCGTTTACTTTCGAAACTGGGATACAACAGGTAT